AGTACTCAGTGCAGGTAAGGTTGCTTTTACCTCATCGGAGCTCCAACATGACTTTCCTGCTCGACGCAACGCCCGGTATATTCGTACTCCCAGAAGTCATGACGTTCTCCCAAAAAGGGACCCTAACCTCCTTCAGTGGCGCTGAGTATGTTATATATATGTCAATAGATAAAACTCATTGTTTAAAATCCATTGCCAGTCTTTAAATAAAAATCCAAAAATAAATAAATAAAAGTCAATAAATGAAGTGAACATCAACAGTTAAGAGGGAATAAAAGTTAAAATTAAAACAAAATAATCGTGTCAATACATAAATTAGTTTAATAGTTAATTAGTAAAATGAATAAGTAAATAAATAAGTAAAAGAATGGGGAACGGTTAAAACAACAACAAATAAAAACATGTACACATATAAATAAATAGATAAATAAGTAATTATTTGCTGCCTGTGAGGTTCTTCATAGTGTCACCTCTTATGGCGATTCATGGAGCCTACGAACACGCCTGGGAACATCGTTACCTAGGAAAGTATTCTAATGGAGGACCGGAGGGACAGAAACGACATTGTCAGACGGGTTTCTCCATTTTTGACATTTAGTCTGTGATACCAATTTATCAAACTCTTATCAAGAACACATGTACCAAGCATCAAATGTCCCAGACAACTGATTCATCAAAACAGCAGCTTACGGATCGTGTATAAATATCGCTTCACTAAGACTAAAGTCAGTCTTGATTCTATAATCGAAACCTACGTTTCATTATTTCTCGAATAAACCTCTTAACTACGATTAATTGCGTAAAACGTTAGGAACATAGTACATCGCAATTTCACTCTGGTATTACGAAATTTACTTAACAAAATATTCATCCTTACTCTTCGACTGTACATAATATTTACGGTTCGCGCGGTACCCTGATTCAGACTATCTCTTGTATTCTTCTTTCAACGTCACGTCCGGAGTGTCGGTCTGGAGTCGCAGGGTTGTTAGAAACCGAGATGACTTCAATAGGGTTGGATTATAGAGCAACGCATTTTCGATTCTGGCATTTGTGAAATTGTGTACCGCATTTTCTTCA